GTAGGGAAGGGGAGGAAGGGGAACTTGTGCATCAACAAATGCTCCAGTTTTGACCACTCCATGTTTATTTTTCGAATTTCCACCAAAATTAGCAAACTTACCAAAAACGACCCACCTAGCCCGCAACCATGACCCTCCTCGACTTCCAAAAAACAACCCCCTTTTTTGCAAAATTTAATCCTTCATAAACCCTCAATACGAACTCGCTCTGTGAAAGCTCAAATCTGACCGTCTTGAATACTCATAAAATCCGACTGAATCTGGTTCAGCGGCACCATCAAAACCATTTATCGCTACTGAGCACTTCACAGGGCCCTCTATTCTTTCGATATTTATACACCTACGACATCATGCCCAAATGAAATGTCTTCTCCTTCACCAGCCATGGATGCAAGCACATTTTCTGTTACTGATCAGACTTTGTCTGCCATCGCGTACCTACTTGTTATCCCTTACTGTCACGCTGACGCATGCACTGGAACAAACAGGGCAGTAAATTTCTTAACGTCTCTTCAGGATTTTCAAAAAACAGGGAAACTGGAGTATTTTTCAAATACACCAACAGAATGTTTCCTAGCAGTATAGAATCAAGGTGAACACATGGTAACAGCTTCCAGGTAGCTGAGTATCGCGCTGTCTTAGATCCAGGATATACCACGTGTCGAGAGAATTTGGCTAAAACGACTTCACCCCGGCGCTTTGTCCGAGGCTTAGCTCGAACTTCTGGAGCTTTAAAGGTCCCTCACTAGCCTATTTCTCCTGGTGGAGTTCACGCTACAGTAGAAATAGCGAAGGTTCCAAAATTCACGATTTTTTGTAATTTCCGGATCTTTTCTTACATTGTCAAGAAATGGCAAAAAAGGTAAAGTATCGCACAAGTCCTATTTAAATCCTCCTTTAAGTTCTAATTCTAAATCGTTATTCGGAAACGAAACCCCTTCCTAAAGATTTTGTATAATAACGGAGCATATTCTTGGAAATAATAACCAATTCCACCCAATACGACCCCCTCCACTAGAATGCCAATACGACCCCATATCAAGGGGATCGAACCTTGACTACCCGACAGTAGAGCCTCGTTGAACGTGGAATTTCCTCACAACGCTGATGAGCCCAAGTGATTGCTTTTTGAAGTCGGATTAGAATTAGAAATCAAATTTTATCATACCAACACTTCCGGAACTTCACTGCTTATTTTTGAACCTTTTGTAAACATCATTAAACATATGGACTTGGTTTTGAGCGCAATTACTTTGAAATCTGTTACGAAAACAAGTAATCTGCTGTTATTCTGGATACCCACTCTCAGTTGCTTCCTGTTATTATCTATTATTATATTATGGAGGAAATTGTCTGTGATTGAAACGTGCTATAATTTGAAAAGGGAGATTAGACTATTCCTAGACTGACATTAATCAGTTGGAAATGTGGCTATATTAGCAATTTCTCCGGTGTGAGCTCTTCATAGCTAGATTTTTGTTCAAGGTTTTTCATTCGGAAGGCTTGAAATTGGTTATCCGATGTGCAAACTGGCGTGCCGTGCGCGTAACAAGCCAAATTATACCAACCCATTCTTCTTGCGCTACGCAGTGAGGGCTGAGAGAAAAGTTCACCTGCGGCGCGGACGCGAGCGCGTGCCGGTGACGTCAAAATGACGTCGCAGCTGCGACAGATTCGAAGGAAGGGCGAGCAGTGGCCAGCGCCGCTGCCACTTTGCTTGAATAAAGCTGGGCTTCTGGCACTATACCAACTTGTTCAATCAGTTGTGCCGCGAGAGAAATTATTGTGTTACGTTCAGGTACCATCCTTGCCTTAGGAATTGAAATTTCTTGAAAATGTAGAGGAATCGAGGCTTTCATGTGGAAACCCTTAGGAGTACTTTGTCAGTAATTTGAGCTGAGTGTTTTCGTGTTCGATTCCAACTTACTTCTACTTATCACACAGTGAAGTAAGAGCACGATAGATGCTCGGAGTACTTAACGTTGAAGTAATGGTGGAAAAGCTGGCCCTTGCTCGCTGTCCTCGCCGCCGTTGTGACGTCACCAACACGCGAACGCGTCCGCGCCGCCGGTGAGCTTTTCCATGGAGCCTACTTCCTGCTTCCTAGAACTTTCTATTTTCAGAAATCCGTATGACAAATTTCTTAAAGGGCGCCTGTTTCACCTACCTTCAGAGCTTGAACATACAGGAATATTCCTATGTTAAGCCGATCCGTGCTCAACAGACAATGACGTCGTCGCTTTTGGCCAGATGAGTCATTGATTTGTTGAGCACGATTCGCGTTGTAATGATGTTGTGTAATGTGCAAGAATCCATAATGAATTTATGGATATCGATCGGTATTGCACAGAATTTTCGGAGCCACAACTAATCAGCCAAAAGGTAATGTTCATATTTGGCCTTATTTGTGGACAGTGATAGGGGAGTAGAGTTTGTGGTTTATATTTAGCCATTTCAGGAAGGCCTGGTAACGCGTTTGAATTGCATATTGGAACGGACATCGCTATGGTGTACCATCGATCGATTATCGACCACAAAGACGGACGTACTGGCCAATGATTTTTCTGACTTTTTAATTAGCCAAATATCGATGGACTATGTTGACCAAGATGGGTTTTGCCATTACTGGAAGGATATGAAAGGTTCAAGTTTTTTAGGCGCTCATACAGTAAGGGAGGCATCATGATGCAACTGTTCGAGAAGGTAGTTACGGTAGTTCAAATCTTGTTCAGTGATTTCTTCGAAACCATACGATGTTATTGGTTCCGTGGTAACGTTATTTTTCGAGTCTATTTTACTCTGAAAAAAGTGGGTCATAGTGATGCACGATCTGCTCTAATGACAATTTGCTCATAGAGTCCTTTGAAATTACGGATGCAAGCGGCTTCATCCCTAGTTATTCCTAAGTATTTCGGTGGGTTGTGGGAGGGGACACGGGCGGCGCTGTCATAGCGCTTGTCGCGGCGCTCTTCTCGCGAGGCGATCTCTTGAAGGAGATAGTCTAAACTCGAACATTCCAGCTTTTCACGCATGTGAAGTGACTGCCCTCACCCCTCCCTACCCTAGACGGCTACACTCCTGGTGCGGATTACTAGAGCTGAGGAAACCCTTGAGCCTCAAAAGGGGAGTGTACGGCAGTGCTGGGGGCGTGGGCTGTGCAGGACAGTTTACTTGACGTGCGAGCAAAGTGCCGCGCCGTTGGGTGGCCCCGCCATTGCGAGAAGGTATTAAATTCTATTCAAAACCAGGTGAGTATTGTTCTCTCCCCGTTTAAAATTTAATTGTGCTTCTTGGCCAGTTAGCGGAGTTCCAGTTGCACGTAGGCCAGTACGGACTCCTTCTCGAAAGATTTTGCAGTAGTGGGAGCCCCACCCATTACTGGCGGGTTATGAACGCCGGTGTTTCCACATTGACAGATCCTTTTTGATGTTTTTTTTTTCATGAGAGTTGGTTTTGCTTCCGCATGTACGTAACGAGCGGTGAGCCATACCCTACTTCTGATTTTTGTTCTAGGTGACACTTAATCGTTGAAGTACAATAGTCATGATTTGCAATGTTGGCTGTTCTAATCAAGATAGAGAACCGTGCCTGCACAACGCTTGATGTCATCGATCAAAAGTTGAGAGGTGCGGTGAGCCACGTATCGATCACTTTATCTACTCACACTGCGACTGCCAGAGTTGAAGGGCAATGTATTGCTTGACCCTGGAGGATTTTAGTTTTCGAGATCGCCGCCTAAGCCGTAGGAGGCATGCCTCGAACCCGACTTTTGCAAGCCTGACACTGTCGACGATTACATACCCCAACCCAATATCGCGTGGACGACCATACTGGCAGACCGGCGACCAGGAGTTCAAATGGAGTCCATCGCGCAGTGCACAGAGTTGTCTACTCCCTGTGTCCTGTACAAATCTAGCGAACGCGGAGTACAATAGCGCGAATCGCGCTCGAAGTGATTCGCGGCCTCTGAACCATGTAAGGCGGGACCAAGAGCACGCACCGTTTAAAAAGCTACTGGAAGAAATGGGATTCATTATTGGGCAGAGAGAATTGCGCGAAAGAGAGAGAGAGGGTAAGAGAAAGCGAGCGAAACTGGAAGAACAATGGAATGGAGAAATAGTTTGAGTTCACAGATAATTCGCCGAAACAGATGGGAATGTTGGCATGAGGCGAAATGAAGGGCCATATAGATATCACTTCTTAAATGTTGAGAAAATCTCGATGAAAGTTCTCTTGAATCCTCTGAGAGCGCTGTTCAAATCACGATCTCAATAGGCAGGTAGTTAGATGGTCGAGTTTTAAAACCCCGTGTGAAATGAAAGTTTTCGTTTGAAATGAGCACTCCCCTTAAATGGTGGAAAGGCCGGAAATCACGAAGCTGTTGCAAGAGTCTTCGGAGTTGGTGCATTCTACCTCCTTTCAAAATCATATTGACGTTTGAATGCGCATGAAAGTTTTGCCTGTCCTGAATGAATCATTACCCAATACCCCTTGAGCACGCACGTGAACGTTGCAACGCGACCTGTCGCTATTGGCCACCACCGCAACCAATCACATTATGCCCCGCCCTAACAACTCCGCCCACTAACGTTTGCTTGTACACTACACGTGCATATTGCATATATTACACATTATTTTTTATTAGATTTTTAGGCACTTTTTCTAGCCATACCTATCACCCCTAGCGCACAGCTAATAACCACGAAGACGACAAAGAGGTCCTGCTTCCTCGGTTTTAAGAAATTCGGAGTTACCGTAACCTTGTCAATGGAACAAACCTATTAAAATTCTTATCTCTTAGGCGGCGAAATGATCAGAACGTAAAGCTTCATTGATATGACACCTTCATAAGGGTGAATAATTACAAACACGTATGCAATAAATATTAGCTGAACCAGTTATACTAGTAATCACCAGAAATGAATGAGCGATCAATAATTGTGTAAAAACGGTTATTTATGGAATACAAAAAATTATGCGATGATCTGTATATTTTGCCGTTAGTCTTGTTGGACACACTCAATCCTCATCGATGGCTTCCAACACTCTGATGGTTGAAGGCTGTACTCCCAATCGCCGCTGATCACCGTATCACGGTAAACCTAAAAAAAACAGAGGATTGTCTCGACTTTGTCGATCATATAAAAAAAAAACAAAAAAAAGAGATAAAAACAAATGAAAAAAAATTAGGCTTACTCCTATTCCAGCTCCCTGTTCCAAAAGATGATCTCGAACATCTCGGTGGTTTCCGAAACAGTGATAATTCCGGACTAAAAAGTTCATGGGTTATTTATTTACATGTATTATTGGCTGAACCTGAAAAAAAAAAACAAAAAAAAAAAACAGAAAAAATACAGAACCAATTCTTCCGGGCATACCTAGATTGCAAATTGCATCCAGTGCTCTCATAACAATTTCAAACATTTCGACAGGGAACTGAAAAGGTATTCCTCATGTTATGTTGGACAGTACCAAATCAACACCTAATCGATAAATCATTATTATTCACTAAGAGAGAATAATTGGAGAAAAAAAGGGAAATATGATGCCAAAGAGGGAGCATGTAATAGTAAAGTAAAGTAACATATCTGCTGCCTTGGAATGGCTCCATGCCTGAAATGATAGCGACAGGAGCGGGGATAAAAAAAGAGTCACTTTGCCCATGTTGCACACCAGTTATTTTAACACTTTGCGGACCGCGTGCACCACCATGTGCAGCACACATTCTTCTTATGCAGCCACATGAGTCACATGGTGCTGCACAGCAGGCAAAATGCAACTTTTTGTTTTCTCTACAATTAGTTTAGACGAAGGGTTGATGGGTGTGTTCATGTTTAAGATCGGCACAGGATTTTTTTACGCCTGGCTCCATTTTTTTCCCATCGAATCACTGACGCACAACATACAACAGATCAGAGTCAACCCTAGAGTTGGAACTTTTTTCAAAAATTTCGAGGCATATTTTGACCTGTTCAATGCCCTAAAAATTTTTTTCACAGCTCAAGCACTAATAAATCTGTTTCGCACTCTCAAAAGCTTCTAATTACCGAGATCCGAATCGACGTATCTCCTCTCTCATTATACTGCGTCACTACCGCCATTTCCACTACTATACTTTGTAATCAAACCTGTTGTAACGTTAATTCTTACTCTTTCTGGCTCTTTTCACTATAGGATCGTAGCACCTACAGCCTCGTCTTCGAATCCACTTACAGTCACGAAATGTATCCTTGAAAACGTGAGTCGCTTTTATTGCAGCCTTTATTGTGGCTTCGTAGGAAAGGCGGCCAATCTGCCGCGTTTTTCGGCTTGCTGTTTTTTGCACACTAAGGCAGCGTTTGGTTACTAACACTGCGCAAGAAAATGGCGAAATGAGCTTTGAGCAAAGAGAAGTCGGTGACCCTCGCAAACTGCGCTCCTTGTTTTTTCGGAAGCATTTTCACAAAAATATGGTCGCTTTGGCAGACGACATCAGACCAGTTGCTGAAAATCCAGTTTGCGTTAGAGGTGAATTTTTTGAAAATGGGATAGTAAATCAGCAAAAAAAGAACGAAGGAATTTTCAGAGGTGAACTAAGAGTACTAGATTTCAGTTTGAGAAAAAGCTCATTCTCACCTTCACTATAGGAGAAGGAAAGGTGGAAGCTTAATAGGATGTAAATGTAGAAGTTTAAAGGAATCTTGCGCGGAAAAATCATGATTCTATTTCAGCCATAAATCACTGGCTTGAGACTCATTATCCACGATAATAGTGAAAAGAACTGAAGTATTGCTTTCGTTTTGATTAGAAATTCGAAAACTCGAAAAGGCTGCTACGCGTTCGAATTGCCCACGGACGTTTCACGAATGCTGGCGACGGGGATGCTCAAACTTGGTTCTTGGAGTGCATTCACTAGAAGCTCTTTCTGGCCTTCTGCTTCGTTGCATTCACATCTTACACTTCTACTCCATCCTATTCCATCGATCGATTTGTCTCCACTCTCCGAAATCGCGCGCTTTAACCCGATTCTCTCATTGCGTCGCCTGGTACGTAGCCGGCCAAACGCCGTCTTCTTTCCATGCCTCGCCTGGCTCTGCCTCCTGGTCCTTCGATGGTCCATAACGTGTAGTTTTTGTACGTTTGTTTCTCTTCAGAAACCGAATCTTCATGCGTGAAACTTTGTGTGCTATTTCCAGTGATCACAACTGACATATTCATGTTAGGAAAGAGTGCAAGAATTTTCCGCGCAAGATTCCTTTAATTTTCGGTAGACTAGGAATCAATATGGATGATTAATAATCTATGTTTGCCCGGAATGGTTAATTTTATAAGTCACTTTGAAGGAGGATCCCTCTGATATGTCAAAGGTCTTCAGGGGAATTTACATAATGGAAAGAGGCGGTCTCCATTGTGCAGACCGACACGTATGTCGCAGCGAAGAATATGCTCCTTGTGATCTATTACAGCATAGCCACCCGCGCGACTATATCGCGCGGCACGCCCACCGACTGGATCACCACAGGTCTATACTCGTTAAAGGCAATCTCCGGGATTAAACAGGTGCTATCAGCGCTTTGTAGTGATAGCTTAGCTGCGGAAGGACCTGAAAGTGGAAGGAAAGCAAGAGAAATCATTGGGAACGCTGCAATTAAGGCCTTAACCTTCAATAGGGTCGGATGTGGTACGATGGCGAGGGCGTCAAAGAAGACAAAATACGCGAGAGAGCACGTCGTTTGAGAGAGCACGCTGATCTCTCATCAATGCACGCTGATCTCACCACCTCTCGCGGCGGGTGGGATGCGTTGGAAAGGGAGTCGATGGTTGCGGGCCCGTAAGGATTAGCGCCCTAACCGCGCAGTTTTTGCGACGAAGCTGGAGTGATCCAGTTACGTACGGACCTTACAATTTCCCCCGTGGAATCCCTCCTACTAGTCGGGCTAATCCCGGGGTTTGCCTTTAAGCAGAAAA